ACACAGAGCCCCCCCAGCACCACTCAAATCACTCAAAACGTCTTTTTTCTGATGGACGCTGGTGTCCCTCTGTCCAAAACACACAACATGGCCAGGTTTGGAGGAATATATTCCCAGCAAGCCATTGTTCAATCTAAAACGTCTTTTTTCAGCTCAGCTGGTGTCTCCCCCTCTCCAAAAAAAACAAGTTCTGCTGCGTCGCCCCCTATTGGTCGACCCACTCATGTCATGCCTCGTTTCGGAGGTCTTTTTCTCAGCTTTCAGACAATGTGACCCGCGTCCTGCCCACCCAGGACGTGGTGGGCAGGACGGGTCAGCGGGTCCCAGATCTCAGCCAGGTCCCTCCAGCTCTGTGTTTCTCTCCTTCAGGCCCTCTCATAGGCGCAAGCCCATATTATAAAGAGCCCAAATATTCAGTGTCCAACCCCTCTAGAGGCTCCCAGGTCACTTTTGAGGGCCCCAGGAAGCCTAGAAAATTTCATCAGAAATGTTCTAGTTTTTTATATTTGGCTCATGTGCTGATCAAAGTTTGGAGCTTGATTAGTTAGACCACATTTAGCAAGATATTGCGCCTTTGTGCCACTTAGAAAATAAGTATATAATTTTGCTTCTTTGCCTTTTTTTTTCAGTTTTCAGTACATAGCCTCTCGTTAACAGGTCAACGGGTGTCACCTGTGTCTCCCCTAATTGCTGATTGAGTGCACCTGGGGTTCTCTCCATGTCTTTAAATAGTGTCCGTTTCTCGTTAACTTGTGCCAGTCGGTTTAATAATTTCGGCTCTGACTTGTTATTCATCATCACTAAGGTGAGTCCATTTTTCACAAATCCGATTATTATAAGATTATTTTAATTATCTTTATTTTTAAAATTCCTGTTTTGTTGACAATGTTTTTGTTGGCATCATTCAAGAATTGTACGTTCCTGCCTCATGAACAGCAGAATGCTGTTTCACATAGCAGATGTTTTCCACAAAAAGGACAACACATTTTAATCTGTAATATAAAACCAAAGCATTAGGCTAATGCAAAATATAAACATACTAGGCTTCCATTGATTGAAAGTATGAATGGAAGTATTATAGCATTAGTGGTGTGTTTAGCAATGTGCTAGGCATCTTATGCCACATCTCCATAAGAATCATGATCAACGTTATCCTTTCTAGAGCATTGAAGGAACATTTTTGCTTCTCTCGGAAATTTTTACGACATTTTTATTACATAATGCATAATATACAGTGTATAACAAGAAAATAAGGACACTAACTATGCTACCTTCTTGCAGTCACATAATAATGATGATCATAACGTTTTACTTGCAGCAACGTCATATACCTTAATGATGTTTTTTGGGCGGGTCATCTTCTGTCAGAAAAAACGGTTTTATATTTCTCTTATACATAGATACATATATACATAATTATATATAATTATATATATATATATCATTTGTATTTGTAATCATTTACATATACATATAATTTGATTGTAATTTGAAAAAAGGCGCTTACTGTAAAAAACTCAACGAGTGTATGCAGACGATTTAAACAATTTAACCAAAGTATAACCATATAAATAAGTATATCCTCCTGAGACCCAGAGAAAAAAAGGTTTTTGAATTTCTTTTTTTTTTTACACTTCATGACTCTTTAGAATGAAAAAACATCACTACAATTGAAAAAATTTCAAAACATGTTTTTATTTATTTTTTAGAGTATGTCCTTTGGAGAGGACATCGGGACAACACATTTCGAGGCATACATTTACCTCTGAACTCTAACAATCTTTAGTGCTGTAAATTTCAAATGGCTACATCATTTAAGCCAGTGGTTCAGATTTCCAGGCACCTCATTCAACTTATCAAAAGCAAGCAATGTTAGATCTTATCATTCCATTATAAATCTGCTTCATTGATTTTCTATCTGCTCCCCAGTCACTGCCAACCAAACATCTTAAAATATTTAAGATTTTCTTACACTTATCAATCACTTTTTGAATATGTATTTTCCATTTTAGTTTTTCATCAAAACATATTCCTAAAAATCTTATACATTATACTTGTTCTAGTTTTTGATTATATAATTTTATTTTATTTCCTTGTTTATTTTTTTTGTGAATATCATTACTTTTGTTTTTTCAACTGAAAACTTGAATCCCCATTGTAACGCCCATTTTTCTATTTCAATGATAACCTTTTGTACTTTCTTTACAATGAAATCTACATTTTCCCCTCTTTTCCAGACCGCTCCATCATCTGCAAATAATGAACATCCTATTCCTTTTCCAATACCATTAAACACATCATTTATCATAATTAAGAACAATAAAGGACTTATAATACTTCCTTGCGGAGTTCCATTTTCTACCTTATATTTTTCTGAATACACTTCCCCTATTCTCACTTTTATTTTTCTATTTGTTAAAAAGTCTTTAATCCATTTAAATAATTTTCCTTTAATACCCAACATATATAGTTTAATCAATAATCCCTCCACCCACATCATATCGTATGCTTTTTCTATATAAAAAAAATACTGCCACCACACTTTTTTATTTACTTCTCTTCTAACTTCATGTTCTAAACATAACGTTGGATCATTAGTGCTCCTCCCTTTTCGAAACCCACTTTGATACTTTGATATATATCCTTTACTATTTAAATAATAAACCATCCTATTGTTAATCATTCTTTCCATTATTTTACATAAATTGAATGTTAAAGCTATTGGTCTGTAGTTTCCTGGGTTTGAATGATCTTTTCCTGGTTTTGCTATTGGTATTATAACTGATTCCTTCCAATTCATTGGTAATTTTCCTTTCTCCCAAATTTTATTATATACTTGCAATATTACATCTTTTGATTTCTCACTAAGTTGTCTTATCATTCTATAACAAATCTTATCTTTACCTGGTGCTGTATTTTTTGTCTTCCTGTGTGCAGAATTCAATTTGGCTTTTGTGAACTCAACATTTAACAAATTGTTTGTTTCTTCAACATTCTCTAATAGCTCTTTATATATAAGTTTTGTATTTTCTCTCCCTCTCCTTCCCTCTTCACTTATAGTATTTGAACTATGAACTTTACAAAACGATCTTGCCAATATTTCTGCTTTATCTTCATCTTTTATTATATTTACATTATCCATTTTTAATATAGGGTATTCAAACTCTTTCTTTTTGCCATTCATTCTTTTAATTATTTCCCATATTTTTTCCATTTTGGTTTCTCTCCCTATTGTACTACACAGCAAAAAGTAGAGAGTTAAAATTTCAGGGTTAGACGTGTC